CGTTTGAGTCAATTTAAATGTTTATAATTTTAAAATCCGAGTACTTTTGTAAACCTATTTTCCAATATTAAATAAACTTTTAATCGTTAAATGATTAAATTTGATAATATAAGCCTGTCTCTTCAACTTAATATTTTCAGATTTCATTTAGCAACATACTACATACAGTTTTAGCAATAACTATTTTTCTGAAATTGCAATTGTGAAATTTCTTGTGCATTTTTTAAAAAGTTATTGATATATTTTTTTTTTAAATTAGACTTTTAAAGTTATTTTTGCAATAATTAGGCAAAAAATGAATAAAAAAATAACTTACGAACTCTTATTTTAAAGAACTTTTTCAATACAATCGCTATTTTCAGTAAAGAAGTAAACTAAGAGAATTTCTGAACTGAACTGTATTGAACTGATTTGAAAAGAACCTGGGGATTTCTTTAAAAGAAATTAAAAATAAAATAATTGTTTTCATTAAAAAAAAAAATCACAAATTCTATGAAATAACACCTTATTTAAAATAAAATAATAATTTTATTTTTATTCTTTAAATCTAGACTAATATATTTTTTTAAATTTTTTTTTATTCGGCAATCTGTCAATAAATACTATAATTACAATGCCAATAAGCGTTTTTGGTGGCAAGGATATGACACGTAGACGTTACTTCATTTGGCACTCTGTTTTATAGTGTAGCGTCTGCTAACTACATGAGGTTACTTCCAATATTTGCAATATGCATGATACATACAATACAAGTTTACATTAAATCTAATTACTAAAACCAAGTCTGTTGGTTTGGATTTTTCATTATTTTTTCGTATTGCTGGTCCTTAAACAACCGTTTGGCTAACTTATTGGTTTTAAAACAGTTTTATAGACCTGTAGTTCATTCTCAATAGACAAATTAAAGTTTCTGCCGATGATTCAGTATAAATGGCTTAGCTTGAATTATAACTGCTTGTGTTTTGTGAATATATACTTACGCCAAAAGAGTCTCCTGTCTAGGTGAATTCCAAAGTATTTTACATCTTCGGCTTAAGGAAAATTGTTGTTTAATAATTATACTGATGAACAAGTCTCTTTACCAAGTGTGAATTTTATAAAATTTCTAAATCTGTTGAATTCAAGGGAAAATATTTATTGTTTTGCCTGACAAGGAAGCATCTATTGGTTAGGTAGAATTTTAGTAGCAGGAAATAAAAGTATGGGAGTATATATTCTTAATCTTGTAGCAGAGTCTAGTATGCCAGTATGCCAATTCTGTTATTCGGGGGTAATCGAGGTCGCTGAACACGAATATGTAATCGACGGTAGTCCCCGACCTACTTGGTGCCCAGGGTAGACGTCGTCTTCTGGAGTGTATTCATTTCATTCTAAATCAGCGACAATCATTACTAGGAGGTTTTTGAGCTCGCTGAACACGAATATAATAATAGTCCATGAGCTACTTGGTACCCAGAGTGAACCTTATCCTCTGGAGTTTTATGTTATTTTTTTTAAAGTTTGTCGGAAGTCATTATTAGGGAGTTTTCGAGGTTGCTGAATACGTCGTCGCTGAGCAAAGACTTTCGATTGACTGCGAACGAAGATATAGCAGTAGTTAAACAAGTATTATTAAAAGTTTTGTTGTTAATTTGGTGAATAAAATCTGGCACACAGTAGTCTTGTCCTTAAAGTGCCATATCGCTATGGAACGTCGGTGACTACCATGCTTATAATATTAATATACTGATCTAGGTCTTGGGCTACGTGTAGCAATTGGTCCGCTGTCAAACCTGTCCACTGCCGCAAATTCCTCAACCAAGAGAGTTTCTTCCGTGCTATCCATTTCTTTCCTTCGATTTTACCGTTGAGAATTAGCCGAAGGAACTCATATCTTGGTCCTCTGATTATTTGTCCAAGATATTCTAGTTTACGCCTCTTAATAATATTTAATAGAGTTCGTTGATGTCCCATTCTTCGAAGAACTTCTTCGTTTCTGGTTCTGCTAGTCCATGGAATTTTTAGTATCCTTCGATACAACCACATCTCAAACGCCTCGATTTTATTAATGATATCGGCGTTTAAAGTCCAAGTTTCACATACAGTAGTACCTACTTGAAAATTGTATTAGAGACTTCAACGCTCAGTCACAACAGAAACCTAATACAAGAATATAGTGTCCGTCGGCAAAAAGTTTATGATAGGTACTCTCGCGAAACTGTGTGTATCGATTCATTAGAGAAATTCTGACACGATTTCTCTTTTTTTTTTAACTTTTTTTTGGGTCTGGGGCGTTTTTCCTCTAATTTTCTTAAAATATTTCACCCGTCATACAGGAAAATCGGAAAACGAAAAACAAATTCCGTTAAATATATTTCTTTAATTAAATAGCTTAAAAATTACGAAAAAAAAAAAAACACGAAAATAAACTTGTCTGTTGATAAATATAGGTCAGTCAACGCTTCTGACGAAACGAAAATGTCGGAAAAACTACTGTGGTGAAAATCATAAATAACTAGCTATTTTTTTTTCAGGATTCTTTCATTAACAGCAGCAAAAGCATTTTTTCATATTCGTATCTATTATAAACTATTTTGCTGAAGGACTAACATTTTAACGGCATCAGCGTTCCTATATATGTTACAGTTTTGGCTGTAATAGCTGCCGGACGGACAAACGAACGGCACAAAACTGCAGAATCGATATTTTTGTAAATTTCAATGTTTTTATTTCAATATATTATCCGGTTGTCAGAGATTTGACCTCTAAAAATCATACGAACAAGCTGAATTTTGCTGAAAATGTAAGCTTCGCTCCTCAAAAATGGGTTTCCCCAAAATTACCTTTGTATTGGGGAACCTATTTACCAAGAATCTGTGCGCCGAAGAGAAAAATGTTTGAGAAAATGTAGCTGTGATATTGTTAAAACAGAAGTGTTTACTAGCGATTTTTCTATGTAATGAACCGTTATCTTAGAAACAACGCTTGAAGCAACCAGTGAATTGATTAGGTACGTGCGCGAAATAAATTTTAAATAAAATTTGTAGTAACTCGATGGTAAAAATTCGATATCTTTTGATTAGAGTGTCATATTGACAAAAATAAAATGCTTTTTAAAGGTGAAAATTTTTGCACCATCCTTACGCTTATACACCCTCGGCATTTTATAAATTTATTGTCGATATGTTCGTAATTATCTTAAAAAAATATTTTAAATGAACTTTAAGACCGACCTTTTTTAAAAAAAGATTTATTTTTTTTTTCTTTAAAAAAACAAACAAACAAAAAAAGGAAAGAAGAATGGGAATGAAGTTACTGTCTTGTAAGGGGTTTTTTATTTGTTTTGTATTATGAGAGAGTGATATATCTAGCTTAAGTAGTCGATGTCGGTTCTCTTATTTAGGGATGATGAATGTTTGAGAATTTGACACTGTGCAAACAGAAAAATCACAATCAAATCAAAATCACAAGGATGGATCACAAGCGATCCATCCTTGAAATGTGCCAAATTTTAAAACATCCATCGTCCATAAATAAGAGAACCGATATCGACAACTTGAGACAGATATATCACTCTCTCATCGTACAAAAGAAATAAAAAATTCTCTTACAAGACAGTAACTTTATTCCCATTCTTCCTTCCTATTTTAATTTGTTTTTTTTTTAAGAAAAAGAAAAAATGAATCTTTTTTTAAAAAGGTCTGTCTTCGTTCCGTTTACTAATTCCCTTAAAAATCGTACCTCCCTGCATTCCAAAGAAACACATATACGAAAACAAACTACATGTGAAAATTATGACATCCTACAACTGATAGAAAACAATCATACAAAACAAATAATACATATTAGGCATTCACGTGAAAATTATATAACAATTAAAAAAAGAAACGTCGAAATCCATAACCAAGAACCAGAGATACAGTTAACAGCTCCTTCCCCCTTCATCGCTCATGTAAGTTTTAAAACCTGCCGATTTTAAAGACCACATTTTGAAGCTTTGAGGACGTTTCCATTAAACAGCAATCTTCTTTTAATTTGGACATTAAAATTTTAAAGTATATCCGTTCAAATGATGCAAATTAGATATCTTAATTGTTGTAAACATAGCTGCTTCCAATTAAAAAAAACAACAGTAACTTCGTCCCAAATTGTTCAAGAAAAACTTTTTCTTTTTTAAATTTGTAGAAAAATGCAAGACTTTTCAAATATGAAAAAACAATTTTGCAATCTTTATATTGCTTGAACGATAAATGACCTAATCATCGTCATTGACTACAATACAAAGTATTCAAATTAAACACAACAGTGAAACAAATTAAAATTAAATATATATAAATAATTGAAAATAACTAAGCTACCAAACTATAAAATTTAAATAGATCGGACCTTTATAGTTTAGAAGGGAATACAATTCGTTATGCGACCGAAGAAAGAATAAATAGATAAAAATACAATATAAGAATTAGCATAAGAATTGGTTTTTGTTTTAATGTATATTACAATAAATATCTCATTTAGGACTCCTGTAGATTTTTAGATAAATCCGCTTTTTGTCTTTAGGTTTTTTCTTTTACAATAATACTATCCCGCATTATGTACACATAAAACGTCAACGACTTCGAAGCTTCCTTTTGTGGATCAAGATGATATTAACCTGTCATATTTAACTTCATTTGACCAACGGGTTCTTTATCAAAATACTTTTCATTCAAAAGCTTGCAGCGGAACTCAAGATACGACAAGTGATCTACATTAAAACATTAAAACTTTAAACACCCGCGGATCTTGCCATTCGTTTAATTTACATTAATTAATGTGCTATTTACCTTTAGTTTGCTTTATGTTTTGTATCATTTCATCTGATTTTCATCATGAATCGGAAATCCCCTTAGAAAACTATTTAGAAAATCTAATACTTCATTTATTCTTTATATATCTTTGTAAGGTATATTTTTATTTTTTTTTATGAATAACTATATACAAAACTTTCATTAAAATTTTATATTTTCTACTCTTTTTAGTAACATTGTATGGATCAGCGTGGCATATATCAAAATCTCAAATAGTCAGCACTTATCAAGCTTTTTCTCAAGAAAAGGTGACAGCTGACATCGGAGTGTATGTAGGATTAAATCATGTAAATATTACTTTACAAGGTAAGTTTAAAGCATATTTTCAACTTCTTTTATGAGTTATTAGTTTCCAATTTTCTTCTTATTCAAAGTTAAAATTAACTGTATAACTTATCTAACAAATATAGTACACGTTGAAAATGCGCAATAAACAACTATTGTAGTACCCTATGATAAAAGTTTCACTAAACTTTACGAAAGAAGACTAACATAAGCCAAAAACAGAAACCGAATCGGAGATAATGGAGTAGAAGAGAGCTGATTAAAAATAAAAACGACTATTCTAAGCTCTGCAAACCAATCTCTCAGTAAAAAGACAGTTACTAGGCTTACGAAGCTCCACAACAAAACGCGATGATTGTATAAGTAAAAAGAATGCAAAGAAAAAAATAATCTGGAGTGCATGAAAAATAAGAAAACTATAAAATAATTCAGAATAAGACACATAGGTTTGTTAAAATAAGCAAAAAAAAACACTAGAACCGCTTCTCAAAAGATCTGGAACATGACTCCTACGGATTACAAAATAAAATATGAATATTTATAATAGGACAGAGAAAAGAAATAGGAGAAATAGTAAAAGTTAAAGGCATAAACCCAAATACGTGTATAAATTTCTTAAAAAGACTGTATTTAAAAAACTAACTGCAACTAGCCAAACTAACGTCAGCAACAAAAACGACGAAAACTACAACTGAAGAACAAACTAGAATCAGCACAATGGAAGTGAAAAAATCTCACTAAAAATTAAAAACAGAAAAGCTGCAGACATGCACGGAATAACAAATAAAATATTAAAATATTGCGGAACATTGATAAGAGATCAATTAGCACGGTGTGACGGGTAGTTCTGTTAGATATCAGACCCTAGATGAGATAGAAAAAAGTAGTTGAGATCATGACTTCTTTTTTTATTAAAGTAACGATTGTTCAATCGAATCATCAATATCTAACAACATTAGCGAGATACAGGGCGGTTATTGAAAAATGTTGAAAACGAGAAGGTTAAATATCTTCTTTATTCAAATAAATGTTAAAAAACTGTATTAAAACTACAGAAATTTTTTAAGGGGATCATACTAGGAAACATAATATCAACTAATGGAATAACTAGAATTCATTTTACAAAAATTTAAAAATTATAATAAATGTTCAAAATGCTCCCCATTTACGAATAGTTATAATAATAATTGACACCTTATTATTATATATTTTACACAATTATATTTTACACAATATATGCATTTGCTTTATTTTACAGGAGTATATGAGTGCTTTGTAATAATCCTTCCTTAGTATTAAAGTCAGTTATTATAAATATTGTGTTTTAAGAATTGCCAAATAAAAAAATCAGAATTATTTAGTTCTGGTGAACAAGAACTCTACGTTCCAATCCACTGATTATAAAATTTTTTAATTAAATATCTAATTTCCAGCGATTATGGCATTAATGCAGGTGCTCCTTGTTGAAATAAAAAAAAATTGAAATAAAAATAAAAATTATCAATTTGATGAGAAATATGTCTCATCAAAAACGTTCAAACCATTTATCATCAAAATATATGACAAACTAATTTATTATGCTCGACAAAACACTAACGTTAAAACCGAATCTCCCTTACCTCTAGATCCACTGAACTAAGTGAGGACTTGATTCGTTCCAGTATAGTTATTTATTATGTCAGTTAAATATTCATGCACTGGATATGCGAGCTTTGTCACTTAATATTACCTTAACTATTACCTATTACCTGTGAATATAACCTACTCTACGAAACTAACATTTTTACAAGATGTAACAATATGTTATTATAGATAAAAAAACGTAATGCAATTTACGGAAGTCTAAACGTCAAAATAAACTTATTTTAAAGTAAAATTATGTCTTATTTAAAAAAAATAAATAAAAAGTAAATTATTGTATTATCACAAAACTAGCTTCGGAATAATAATAAAAAAAGAAGACAATAATATTATATCGAATAAAAAAATATGGAAACGCAAAAGATAATACATGAAGGGTGTTCTATTTCGTAACAGTTTTATTTATAATATGGAATTAATAAGCAATTACGATTTTAATGGGAATAAGCCATAAATGAAGGTAAAACTACGTTTATTGACGGTTCAATTTCCAGTTCGGAAATCGTTCTCAACAATGAGCATTTAAGTATTTACTTTAAAGTTAGGTATGTGTTGATTTTATTTTTGCTAAATAAAACTGTCAAGGGATAAGTATTCTCATAATAAAATGTTAAAATATGTCACTATTTTACATAACGTCAACTATAAACATTTTATTTGCATAGTCACTTCAAAAACTAAAAATATGTATGTAACATGTCATATCACGTAAAAGAGAATTAAAAATGTAAACAAAAAATGTCAAAATATATAGGGCATCCCGTATAAAAAAACATAAGTTGGTATTATAATATTTCCTTAAAGACCCACTAAAAAATTTCTTGTACGCCACTGAACTCTGCCATAATGTATCTGTTAAAAATTCCTTTAATTCCTAAGTTTTTAAAAAAAATTTAATAAAGAACATATACAACCCTGTCGTTTTCGACATTTTTCAATAATCGCCCTGTATCTCACTAATGTGGTGAGCTATTGATAATTTGATTGGGTAATCGTTATTTTAACGAAATAATCAGTCATGACATCTTAACTACTATTTTTTCAATCCTTTCTAGTTTTCGGTATTCCTTGCAAAACATACCAATTTTTGACACCCTATACAATGAAAATAAAATGCTAATCCTGGTGAATAAATCATCAACGCTACGATCCACTGTTGATTATTCGAAAAATAGATACGGTCAATGCTAAGGAAATCAAAACAAAAGGACAATGTGTTTCTCAGTACATAAACATCAGTGATCCAAAGACTAATCACTACTTACCTAGGTTAGAGGTGTGAATACTTGGTCGCTGGCGGGTAGAATAATTTGGTCTTAGATCAGTACTCCAATACTTAAGTCAGAAACTTTCACTAGACCAGTACTATAGCTTGAGCTCCCGGATCGGTTGGTCTTTGGTCAATAAAAAAGGGCCCGGTGAAGTTTTTATAAAATCAGTAATCTGGTAGAACTCAATTCTCTGTGAATATCTACGCTGTTTTATATCTTTATCAGTGTTCCATCTTCAGCGCGCATCGAATGGTGGTGGTAGGTAATGGTAGAAGTACGTGCATATGTGCATATATTGCAGTAGCAAGCCGGTAACGAGAGCTAGCGATGCGATCATTACAACTGCTCAATTACAACATATTTATAATAAAGTACGTTAAGTATAAAAATAAGCGCACTAATCCTGACGTTTAAAGAAGGTGACAAAACAGAATCGGAAAACTATAAAGTAATAATATATTAAACATTATGCTGAACCTTACGGAAAACATTTTAAACAAAGTAATAAATGACGGAATATCACTTGAGGATGAACAAAAAGGATTTTTAAGTGAAAGCCTATGTACAGATGCAGTATTTGTTAAAAGGCACTAGAACACCAAAGGCCGGCGTTTCTTTGTTTCTTTGGCTTAAATATGCCTTTGACAGAGTAAGGACAAAGGATTTTTTTACCTTTTATACAAAAGAAAAATACCATTAAATACAGTACGTTAAGATTTGGATTACATATTGCACACTACATAAAGCCCTAAAATCGGCAACATTGCACTGTACTAAATAATTATAATTCCCGATCTCCTCCGACACGACGACAGCGACAGAAAATCGAAGCATGAGAAAATAATTGAAAATAATTTAGTAGCACGTAACAACGGATGAGATACACATCTTCGTTATTCAACTTCGATATTTGTTTTCATTGCGTATGCGCAATTCATTTCTTAGAGTAGATAAACTCGATAAAAATACACTGACCTTATAAAGTGGTGCATTTGTATCGGTTTTTAATAATGTGAACAATTTTTGTGGTTCAATTAAAAATAAAATTGTGGTTCTTTAAAAATATAAAACAAAAAATATACTCGTATTAAAAATAAAAAATAAATCCTAATAAAAATAAGAAATAGTTCTTTACGTACAGAAATGATTCAAATATTTGACCTTCTACGACTGAACGTCACTTTCTGGAGACACTTCTTGAGCGTGACATTTTCTGCAATTTTTGAGGCTATAACAGCTCTCAAAAGTTTTAACAATATTATAAATTAACCTGTATGCACGGAATTGATCTCCTTTCAAAAAAACACAGAAAATAAATGTAGACACTTACTACACTTACACTCCAGAATTACCATCCTAATACCATTTTATTATTTAAAGTTTTTCTGCGGGCATATAAACAGACATGTTGTTTACAAAAATTAATTAAAGATCTACGCTCGTATTGCTTTAAACAACCATTGTTTAATAACAAATTAATGGTGACGTGTCAACGAAGCAGGTTCGTAGAAAGTCGACGGCGTGCAGTGTTGTCATTTATAGAGTGTATATCTCTTTTTAAAACTTAACTTACTTTATTATTAAAACAAATGAAGACATATACGAGGAAAACAAAATGCAGCTCAAAGTGGATGGAGAACTGATGTAAAAAGTAGTCACAGGCCAAGATATAAGGCAAGGAGACTTCTTAAGCCCTGTAGAGTTGAATCTCATATTAGATGAAATAATTAAAACCGTAAAGAGAAGTAAAGGTTCCTCTGTTATGCAGACAAAGCCATATTCATAGCAGGAATTGAGGTCAAGTTACAAAGATTGGTTTATAAATTCAACTTAATAACAAAGAAGCTAAAAAGAGACAATTCAGCTCATAAAATAAAAAAAACAATAGTCATCAACACAGAACTGACTACATAATACATACTACGTAATATGTATAATCTTCTTCTTCTTGTTTGTCTTTACAAGCAATTCTGCTTGTTTATTGGCGGATTAATACCTCTATGGAAGGTTGTTACTCCATCTTTTGCGCGGTCGTCCGATACTTCTGCCGATTGGTGACTTATCTCTTGCTATTTTGACGACACTGGTCTCCTTCATTCTGCCTATATG